TGGGCGGGAGGGATCCCGGGGCACCGGTGTCCCCCGTGTCCCCAGGGAGTCCGCCCAGCTCCGCGGGAGTCTTCCTGATGTGTCCTTAAGGAGCTGTGCTAAGGAGTCAAGTGCATAACCAAAATGTAAAGACCGTAAAATCGTTTGTTTTTTCTTCACCCCCCTCCCCCTTCCAAAAGCTTTGTGGAAATAATCTTATGGTGAGATTAAAAGCAAAATCAGACTTCACGTAAAAAATGAGTTGCTCACTTTGACCTCGCTTCCTTGCAGGCTGCAGAAGATGTCAATGTCACTTTTGAGGATCAACAGAAAATTAACAAATTTGCAAGAAATACTAGCAGGATCACAGAGCTGAAAGAAGAAATAGAAGTTAAAAAGGTATTTTTTTTTTTTTTTCACTAAAAAGTCACTTTTTTTTTTGTTGTCCCGAATTAATTTCTGAGCTGCTGCTCAGAAAATGGACAGAAAATAGGAATTATCGATTAGCGTAAGTAATAGTTTTAGCCAGAGATTTCTGGCACTGAAGATAGCCAGAGAATATTAAGATGATAAAGCAAAGAAAGTCATAGGAAATAAAGGAAACTTGGAAGAACCACAAGTGTATTATTGCATGCAGTACTTAGAACTCCTTAGTTGTTATGTATGAAATGTTGATCATATATGAAGGCTATTTGCAGTGTTCTAAAATTTCCTAAGTTTATTCATATCTGCTTTTCTTGTACCAGTGAGGCATTCCTGCCTTTTTTCTTCTTTTGATGTGTTTATAGAGGTCATCGTTATCTGCTTAGAGATTTTCTCTTGCTGAATAGGGTACATTATGCTAATTCACTCTTCCAGTATTAATTCATTTTTCTTTAACATCGGTCACAGTATTTCCAGTGAAGTTTTAACTGTTATTTGTGAAGTGCTTACCCTGTCTCTTCTATAATTCCCTTGCCTGATACATACTGTAAAAATGTTACATTTTCGGTTTGATGTTCCCTTGGTGGCTTAAGGTGCTAGGACTCTAAGACATTCTACTTTTGTGATAAGGTTATTAACGTTTGCCGCCTTATTTGTCTTCCTGTTCTCTGGTTAAATTCAGAAATTCCTGCATAATAACGTATCAGATGTTAGTGAAATTAAATCAACTGTTTTTCACTTGTCTAACCAGTTAATTGTCCTGTTAATGAGAGTACTGACTAGAACTTTTTACTGGTAAACGCCACTGAATTTAGTACTTACTTTAAATTATGTCTCGGAAACAGCGTTATCAAACATACTGATATTGATGGGTAGGATTTTTGCCCCAAATGCGGACTCTCTCTGCATTCGTTATTCAACAGGAATAGCATGTTAATGCATCCGTTGCAGTAATACACATAGGACAAAGTGACCAACTTTCTTGTGTCTTGATAAATAGAAGCAACTTCAGAATTTGGAAGATGCCTGTGATGACCTAATGATGCTTGATGATGATGATTCACTACTGATACCCTACCAAATTGGAGATGTCTTCATTAGTCATTCCCAAGAAGAGACACAAGAGATGCTGGAGGAGGCAAAGGTTTGTGGGCAAAAAAGGAGTTGCTTTAGCACTATCTGCAGATAAGCATTGCAGTGGGATGGTGTGTTCAGTTCTGAACCTTTTACTTTCTGAATATCTTTACTATGATATCATGTAATACTGCAAGTTATACTTCCAAAGCTGGAGCCTGTTAATCAGCAAAAAGTATCAACACGGAAATATTCTCTCATTCTGATTTTAGCTTTATGCCTTGATCAATTTATTGAGGTTGGTGATAGCTGAGGCATGACTTTTCAATTTCTGGTATGTTTTATGATGTCCTATAATTATCATTGGAAAATTTGTCCTTTGACTGGCTCCGTCAAAGGAGCCTGACTTAAGGCAAAAACTTAAGGTTCCTTTGATCAATTATATGTTGCTGACAAACATGACTTGGTATGTTTTCATAATTAATTAGACATTCTTTTCTTTTCCAGAAAAGTTTACAAGAGGAAATTGAAGCATTGGAATCCCGAGTGGAATCAATTCAGAGAGTGCTGTCTGACCTGAAAGTTCAGCTCTATGCAAAGTTTGGAAATAACATAAATCTTGAGGCTGAGGACAGTTGAAGGTTTTCTAAATATATCATAATTTTTTTTTCATTATTTTAGTAAATATTTTGACAGTTCTTCTTTTCCAGCAATGTTTAAAAAAATTCTACCAGTTTCTTATTTTCTGACTTTCCTGTCTTGGGTTCCATCTATTTAATGAGAGCTTTCTTACTTTGCTTATTGCAGTTATTTATTTGTTCAGGAAAGCATTAGCGTCACTCTATTGATAAAGCATCAAGGTTGGAATATTTGCGCTGTTTATTAAAATAATAAAGTCAGGCACATATCATAGTTTCCCTGGTCTTGTTTTCAACTCATAAAGGTACTTATGGAGTACAAAAACACTAGAAATGGGTAATTTCTGATTTGCACTGTATTGGCTGTTGGTTAAAAGTTGCTCTACAGTATTTTGGGCATGGTCTCACGCTCAGCTACCATGCTGCTTAACTGGTCCAAGCAGCCCCTTCTGGAAATGTTAAATCTATCCTTTGTCTTTCTCTCAATCTTAGCTCAAAAGTTTTGTGGCCAAAAAATAAACTGGGTAAAGGAATTGAGTCCCACCCTGGGCAGTTCTGTTTTTTTCCAAGAGAGATCAGTTCCTCAGTCATTTGACAGACAGCTACAGAAACACTGATAGCTCAGTGCGCAAAGTGGCAACAAGTTGACAGGGGAGAAAGGATGGATCCTTAACGTTTACGTTTTATTGAAGAAGTGCTTTTGGAGTCATAGTCTGTTCAGTCATTTGCTACTTTTTGTTGGAATCGTGACAGATGTCGTAAGTCATAATGGTGAGTCTTAACCTCTTTTAATTTTCCTGAACACCAGTTTCTAAATATGAATGCTAAGTCCAAATTTATGTACCAAATCAGTGTCAGAATTGTTCATAGATTATGTTGCTCTTGTCAGCATCCATCCCTGGAACTATGCCTCCATCATTATGTGAAGTTGGTGACTACGTTTTTTTTTAAATTGTCTTAATTTCTTGATTCCTTAGGTCTTTTAAAAATGATACACAGTCTCACTGTAGCCCTTCTGCTTTTGGATTTGCCCTCTTTGATTAATATATTGTTCCATGCAAATAACTGTTCAGTATGACTTTTTTAAATTAACTTTTAGCATAGTTTAATAATCTTTTTAAGGTATTCTCCGGAACAGTGTGGGCAGAGATAATTCAGTTGGCCAAATATTAATCTGCAATCATTGTTTTATACTATAAATGCTCATAGCGTGAGATGAATATATTTTTATAGAATGAATTATTTCTACCTATCCTGTCTCATTTGTGCAGTATCTCTGCCTCAAACCATGGGAATAGGGAAGTGTTATTGAAGTAGCTCTGCTGATGTTGTAACTGAATAATAATATACTGAACTTAATTTTCAGTACATCTCAGCAGGATCTCACTAATGCATTGTTAACAATGAATTACAGCATTGTAACTTAAATGGTTGTTTAAATGGTTGAAGCTTTTTAACATTTGGAATTCTTCTCAAGCTCTTCAGTGTTGTATATATGGTTTAACACATCCATAAAGGAAGAGTCTTTCACTGTAAGAATCTAATACCTCAACAAAAGTACTTTTATTACAGTGTAAATCAACAGAAGGCTGCGATTCTCAAAAGCTGTGCTAAACTTCATCCTAGCCCTGGAGTTGCCTATGTTTCTTTTTAATAGAGTCCCTGCGGTTAATATGCTTCCAGCTAGATGTGTGTACAAGTATCATAGCCCTGGCTGTATTAATTTTTAACTTGTGTTTCTAACAAGTTGTGACTCTAAGCCAAACCTGTGCCTCAGAAAAGACTTGAAGTTACTTCTTACTTGTGAATACTTTAGTTACTCTTTTAGATAAAATGTGGGTATTTGGGAGCTATGGTAACTCTGTTAGTACATCTGCCAGCCAGTGGTTGGAGCAAATCAAGTGTGTTGGATCTTCAAAGAGAGAGAGATGTTCCTTTACATAATTTAAAAATCCTCTACATAACTTCCTAAATTTAGGCAGGAGTTTGGTGCTAAACTACTTCAGAGCAGTTCTAGGTTGACCCAGGGTTACAATTCTAGGCACTGAATGGAGAATAAAGCGGCCAATGATTTGGTAGCAGCAAGTATTCTGGGTTTAGGTGGCTCAGCTCGGCCTTAGCCTACCCTGCTAGATTTAGTGCTTGGTTCAAAACTGTCTTCCAGGACAGTGCAATTTGAAACTTAAATAGGGCAGGTTTACGATCTTAGGAATCACTGTTTTATCTGCACGTCCAAGCCACTTGTTTGGTATGTTGAGGAAAATCCTTCCAACACATTTGTCTGTATAATTATAAACCAGATAAAATTATAAACCAGATAAAGACTTTTTCCCAGGTGAAAACTGAGCTAGTGGTGGAGTTAGACCTGTAATGAGAAGCATCCAGCAGATGGCAATAAAGTACCAGAGAAGCCTGTTTTATGCTAAGCCCGCGCCTAGGCTGCAACAGCTGGCGCTGATTTTACTAAAGTGGAACTTTGTCTTCAGTGTTTGCGTTCTCATAATTGGTTGCCAGCGCTTCAAAATTCTCTCCTAAGTGTGATCTTTGTGCCAGCTTTACTGTTCTGAGCACGTGCATGGCCATGTTGCCTACAGGCTTTGGCTATTTAAAAATGATAGTAATTTCCAAATAGGCCATAGTATGGACATGGCTTATTTAAAGAAAACAAAAAGGCAGTAAGGTAGTAAGGTTTAAACATTTGATGCCAATGGTGCTATGAAGGAAGATGAAGACTGTAGTGCAGTGAATAACCCAAAGGGAGAATGCTGGTGAGGTGCCGAACTTGCATTGTTCCTGCTGTTCTTTTATATCCTAAAAATGGAATTATCCATATGTGCAGCTATGCTGTTTAGGAAAAAGATGATTGTTAGAGTTTTTTTTTTTTTTAAATGCCAGAGATATCTTCTGAGTTTAAAGATGGAGCAAAATCATCTCATGTCTTTCTTTTCTGGTGCTGTATTTTACCTGTTGGTATTTATTTTGCTTTTTTTTGTTTAATCCAGCATCTCTCTTTGTTTGTCATGGTGCTGATATATTTTAGGTCACTTCACTAGGCTCTTCCTGAATTAGTGGCTTCTGTATTTTTGTGTGTATGACTTATACTTTTCTATTTGCTTAGTCCTTACTGCAACTTGTGTGTCAATGCAGCCTTGTAAATCTAGCTGTGTGCTTGCATATGCAGTGTCCAGTTTGTTTATATGTTTTGGAAAATCGTGTTTGCAGATCGAGCATATTTAACTTCCACAATGACAACTTAAAAGGAAGAAACATGCAGATTCTCTATCAGTTGCTTGAAAATATTTCCCAGAGACCTCATTTTTGTTTTTATAACCTTCTTCCTGCTTCGTGAATGTATGCAGTTGTTCTTCAGTTGACTTTTGTTCTGTATGGTTCCCCACCTGGTAAGTACTTGTTATTTTCTGTAGATTGGAAATTTCTCTTGTCTCTAATAATGTTTGCCTTGCGGTTATCCTGTTCAGACATCATAAATATAAACCATGAAAATGCTCCATCAAAAAGCTTTGCTCCCCTATGAACCTTTGTACATGTCATGAATCGCTCAGCTACACTTGAAAATATACATTTTTTTTAATATCGTTGACAGAGTGCTAATAGTTTACTGTCATTCTCTACGTTGTCATGGGATTTGCATTTATAAAGCACTTTGAAGATGATATGCGCCATAAAAGTGTTAAGCATTATTTTACTATATGAGTGTTGTTTAGAGGGATTGGCCAGTGATCCTTGAGTAAGTAAATTGGCTATTCAGTCAGCTCATTTTTTCTTTTTTAGTAAGATACATTCTTCCATACAGTTTTTGTTCTGCAAGTCATAGGGTCACCAGAGGCTGTCTTTTCACTTAGTTGCAGCAATTAGAGCAGATAAGCTAGCAAAACAGCAGCTACTGAAGTACAGCTTATTTCAGTGCATGGTGTCATGGAGATTTAGCTTACCAGTTTTTCAAAGTAGCCTGACAGAAACCCTCTGAAGCATAGGCACAAATCTTTATTTTCAGGAGCTTGTTTGTGATTCTTTATTTTCTTAGCTGATGTAAAATGTATTTTTTTTTCCACATGATAATCTCCAGCATAAACTTACCAGTGGAACCTTCATTACTTCTGGTCTCTTTTATATAGAAGATACTCAGCTGTCATTATACTCTTTATTAAATATCTGTTTAATGATTATTTGATAATTGTAGGAGTTGGTGTATAGCAGAAATGTAAATGATTTTGTGGTATTAACTATCACTTCAAAGAGCAGGAAGATTGAATCCTGAATGCTGGAGCCATGTTTTCTCTAGGAGCAACAGAATTTAAGTAGTTTGGTTTGCATGAGTCAGTGGTTCAGATCATTTATTAAATGTTATTCTAATAGTCTGATTCATGAAAGGAAAAAAAATGTGGGTGTATGTAGGCAAGATAAGGCCTGATAGAAATTATTTACAACCAGGTTTCTCTCTATATTAATTGCATGAGTCATACAGAAAAACAAATGATTTCTGTAATTAAATGCTAGCTGATGATAAGACTGTACAGACCGCAGTGCACAAAACAGGCATAAATGGCTGTGAAGGATTTCCCTCAGCAAAAAATAAAACAGGCTTACAGTTAAGGGGGACTGAATCCAGCTTTTGATTTTACTTTTTTAAAAAAAAAAAAAAAAAAGGAAACCCTACCATTTACTTCACATTCACGAAAATCTTTTGTTCACTGTTCTTCTGTGCTCGTTCTGAAGCTGGCTAGTATTTTGTGACTTGGATGTCAATTTATAAACTACAGTTCTCATCAGGGCTCCCCTACACTTTCACCACTTGTAGAGACATGATGGAGTGATGTACTTGCCAAGTCTGCATTTCAACACCTGGCCCTTTCCTTATGCTATTAGGAAAACTTCCTGTGTCTTTTCCTAACAGTTTGACACAAGTGAAGGAAGCCACTCTTCCGTGGATTTTTAAATTTCAGTTAAGTTTTACTTCCTTCATGCGTGGTAAAGAAGTCCATCATAGCCATGCATGTTTGGATGATTTCCTTGCCATGTTAACCGTAACAAAAAGGATTGTGCATACCAGATGGATTGTGCTCTTGTGAAATAAGGTGACTATTTACAATTGTTAATATGTACAGTTAAAATTTCTACTATTTATTAGGATTCTGGATAAACGTGTGAAGGAAGGCAAACTGATTGGTAAGGGCTAGTCAGTGACCGAGAACAACTTATAACACACAGGTATAAAACTTGATTGCCTTTGGGTACACAAGAGCAGTAAATCAA